GTCGGGCTCTGTGCTGACAGCTCAGAGCCTGGAGCCTGCTTCGGATTCTGTGTCTCCCTCTCGCTCTGCCCTTTCCCTGCTCATGTGCTTACTCTCTCTCTCAAAAATAAATACGCATTAAAAAAAATTAAAAAATAATAAAATAAAATAAAATAATAAAATAAAATAAAATATACACCCTACATCTGGGGGGAAGTGAAGTGTGTCCCCTCCTGCCTAGCAAGGGACTGTCACACATCTCTGTGCCGGTCGCTCAGGCCTCACCCTTGCTCATGTACTCCGTGACAATGTAGATGGGCTCCTCAGACACCACGGCATACAGCTGCACCAATTTCTCGTGCCTTAGTTTCTTCATGACCTGGGCCTCCTGCAGAAAGGCCTCTGGAGACATCGTGCCTGGCTTCAGGGTTTTGATGGCCACCCTGGTGGTTCCGTTCCAGGTTCCTGTATGGGTAGGGGTAAAGGCTGCCTCAGTGAAGGCCCCCTATTCCTGTACCACTGGGACCCAGGATCTGCCTGCCCGGGTACCAGTTTCAGCTCTGGCCTCCCCAGCCATATGACAAGCCCCGCCAAGGTCCAGCCCCTTTCTGAGCCTCAGTGTCCCCACCTATAGAATTAAATGAGATCTGAGGTGCTGGGCCAAGCCCACTATGAGGGCTCACTTAGCTGCCGCTGTCATTTTATTATTGTCTGGTTTTCAAACCGTGAGGCCTTGGGGAAGCTGTCCTCTAGACCAGTGTGTTTAATCCGGGTTCTTGTCCCAGCTGGACCCAAGGGCCTTTGCTGAGTGGCCCTAGGTCCATTCCTCCCAGTCCCTGGGCCCCCATCTGAGGGCTGGGGCCAGGCCTTTTCCCGAGGCCCTCGCGGCCCAGGTCTGGGGACCCGTACCTGACACTCCATGAGTCTACCCGGGGCAGCCGCTGCTTGTTACCACACACCCAAGCCAGGAATGAGTTCTGCAGCCACCAGAGCAGCTGATGCCAGGGATTTCTCCAGGCTTTGCTCGTGTGCTCCTTTTGTGGCTGTGCTTAGGAACTGGCTTCTCATCCCTCGCCCCTGTCCCCAGCCCAACACCTTTCCTGACTTGGCCTGACCTCCAGCCTCCAGGCCTTGGTGCCTGCAGGGCCTTCCACCCAGGAAGCCTCTCTGCTCTCCCCTGAAGGGAGGAGAGTGGAGACGCTGATGCCAGGTGAACACTCGGCTTACACGACGGCACGCGGCGAGTCCCCTGCAGAAGCCACCAGCTCACAACTGTCATGCCTGCCTCACGCCAACCGCCCTGATTCCTCCGCGTCAGCAGAAGGCGGCCTGGGTTTTTTTCAGGGCTGCTCAGTGTTTGTTTGCAAGGACAGTTTTGCCTTTACTCCAGGGTCAGACGGGAGACTGTTAACAGGCCCAGAACATGCCAGACTGCACTGCCAAGCACCCCCTGTGCGAGTTGAGGCTTCTCTTCCCACGGCGAAGCACTAATGCGTGGACGCATGCCGGGCCAGCAGTCTCTCACACCCCACAGGTGGTTCCTATCTTCCCCACCCTCCTTGCACCCCGAGGAAGACTGAGGCTCCGAGCCGAGCCACCTGTCCCAGACTGCGCGGTGGGTCTTCGGGGAATCAGGATGCCCAGCCCTGAGCAGCCCTTGGCCGAACGATGCCAGGGTCTATAGAGGTGTGTGGTGCTGAGGGGGGCTCCACACTGAAAACAGAGCCCACTGTTCAGCAGAGGTGACTGTGACTCGCGGAGGTAAAGGGTGTGGGAGGGGGAGGGCAATGGGGCCTGGAGCTGTACCAGGGGATGGACATCTGCCCGGCTCTCGAGTGCGGACACCAAAGCCCCAAAAGGGACGGTGATTCCCTCTGAGGGGGCGGGGGTGAGGCCTTACCCATCCACACCTCTCCGAAACAGCCCTGGCCCAGCTTGACCTCCAGCCGCAGGGACTCCCGGGGGATCTCCCAGGCGTCTTTGGCCAGGCCCTGAGTCTGTGGCTTGGACGTGGGGCACACGGTGGTGAGGCGGTGGCAGAGGCCGTCGGCATGTTCTGAGGACAGAGGCGGGGAGGTAGAGTTCAGCAGGGTGTCTGTCCTGGGGCCTCCCTGTCCCACGGTGTGTGTGTGTAGACATACACGTGGCATGCACAAGGGACACACGGGATGCCCTCGAGGCCAGGCATCCACACCTGTGTGTTACACAGCCTCATCCCACACAGGCCCACACTGACTCGCGCATCTGCTCGCTGAGTTATTCATTCATACGTTCATCCGGACCTGAAAGGGCAGCCACCCAGGTGAGTCCCAAGGATGCAGTGCGGGACAAGTCCAGTGGAATCCTGCCCTCAGGGAGCTCACAGCGCAGGGGGAGCCCAACTTCCCCTAATCACCTCCCAGGACCACGAGCATGACAGAGGAGAGCAGTATGTGCAACAGTAGGTGGGCTGGGTGGAGTCTTGGAAGGCTTCTCAGAGGAAGTGGTGCCTGAGCTTGGATCTGCAGGGGAGTGAGTGGTGGACTGAGACCACTTTGCAGGGGCAAAGGGCCCTGAGAGAGGAACAAGCCTCTGGGTTGTAGGAACTGAAAGGCCAGAGGGGCTGCTGGGGAATGAACGGGGAAAGGGGGCCCCGGGTAAGGCAGGGAGGCCGGCAAGGTTTACAGCAGCCAAGGCCTCGGAGGCCACGTGGGGATCTTTATCCTGAGATTCCAAGGTAATCTCTGGAGGGTTTTAATGTGGGGGAGCAGTGTTCAGAATGAACCCTACGATGGTGGCCAAGGGGACAGAGGGGTGGCAGATGGTAGAGGGTGTCGGGGGGCCCAGCTGACAGAGAAGGAGGTGGCACAGGATGGGGAGTTGCTGGCACTCTCACGCTAGGCCGCACCTGCACACAGACGCCACGGCCACGGCCACGGCCACACGCACACAGGCACCCACAGAGACCCGCCCACACGAGTACACACAGACCCCATTGCCCCAGGGGAAGCCCTGAAGTGTCCGGATAATGCACACACACCCACACCCACAACCTGAGCCCCGGTGTGTACCGGGAGCCCTCGCTCCCTCCGCCTGCCCTGCTGCTCTCTCTCCCTCTGCTGCAGTTGGTCTAGCCGCCCCCTCCTCTCCCAGTAACCGGTTCAGACCGGTCCTAGGGCTGCAGAAACAAATGACACCGGCCTAAGCCCCCTCCCTTCCCTGCTCCCCTCCAGGCAGCCCTCCTCCCCAGCCAGCTGCGGAGAAGGAGAAAGAGGAGGGTGGGCATGGTGGGGGGAGGGGATGGGGAGGAAAGAGGAGGAAAAAGAGGGGGAGGGAGAGGAGAGGGGGAAGGGAGAGAGAAGAAAGGAAGGAGGGGCAGGAGGAAGAAGGAGGGAGGGGAGCAAGACCCCACACTCTCAGGATAACAGAAGCCCCAGCCCTTGTTGGCCCCAAATCCCCCTCCAAAGGGTCCCCGGAGGAGGGCTGAGCCCCAGGCCCAGCGCCCACTCTGCCCCGCCCTCACTGGAGTAGTAGGCCACCAGCTGCTGCAGACTGTTGAACTGGGTGCGGGAGGTGATGTAGAAGCCACCGCTGTCCAGCTTGCGGATCTTGTAATGCTTCACATTGAGGCCCTTGGCGTTGTCGAAATCGGACACGGAGAGGCAGTAGGCGCCTGCAAGGCAGGGTCAGAGAGGAGCCATGACCCCCTCGCCCAGCACACCCCGCCCCCAGGCCACAGCGCTAAGTGCAGTTCTGTGCCTGCCCAACACAGGTAGACAGGGAGGCCAGAGGCGCAGGCGCAGCCCCAGCCCGGGGCACAGACAGGTCCAGTCCGCCCTGTTTCTGAGCACCCAGCCCTCAGGCAGCCACCAAGGCAGGGCCAAGTGAGCAAAGGAACACCTGATCAGAGAACCTCCCCAGGCACCCTCAGCCGGGGCAAGATCTCCCAGGCCTGAGTGTATATCCCAACTGTGTGACCCGGACAAGTAAGTCGCTTGGGCCAGTCTCTGGGCCTCAGTTTCGTCCTCTGCACAATGGGGCTACTCCCAGAGATGCTGGGAAGATTGGAGACCACATATAAGAGGGCCTGGCACATAGTAGGTGCTCAGCGAATGTTTGCTAGGAGCCAGGAATGGTCTCGTGGCTGTGTGTCCCTGGCTTAACTGCTTCCTCTCTCACAAGGGCACTCTCTATGCCCCACACCTTCCTGAAGACTCCACGATCAGGCAGGAGCGGATGGCTGGCTAAGGTTGCAGCAGTCATGGGCAGGGGGCCACGTGCTGGGTGTGGCCTACAGGCTGACAAGGCAAAGATGGGCCAGCCCTGGTGGCCTCCTCCCTGCCTCTTTTAAGCTTGGAAAAGTTTTTGGCTGGAAAAGTTTCCTCCTGCCTAGCAGGCCTGGCTAGGAGCCTTTGTTAACCTGAGCCCAAGAGAGGCCGGGGGTAGAGGCTCCAACAGCCAGAGAAAGCCCTTTTCAGAAGGTAGGAGCCATCATGCTAGAACCCCAGCCCCCACAGCCCATGGGCTCTCTGGATAGTCCTCAGGTGGGGATTACAATCTCCAGTGTCACGAAGGGGAAAAGGAGACCCAGAGAGGGAAAGCCGCTGGCCTCAGGTCACCCAGCAAGTCAGGCACAGAGGACTGTAACCAGGTCTCTAAAGCCTGCAATAGGCAACCATGACTAACAGATGGCCCAGGCCACATACATGTAGATGCCAGCGGCCTGAGTCTGAAGCCAGCCCTGACCACATGTGCGCACATGCAGGCATGCCCATGCCAGGTGGCCTCCTGCTCACACAGGGACACACGGCCCAGGCCCCCCAGGCACAAAGACAATCCTACAACTACCCACTCCCACCCAGGAGGACCCAGACAATTGCACCCCCACATGCACACACATGCCTAGACCCACGCATGGCGTGCCCGGCCACACAACTGCTCATAAATGCACACACATGACACAGATGCTCTGCTTCCCATCTCTCGCTGAGCCCCAGGCCCACGGGACGTGGCCCAGCTTCGTTTCCATGGTGATGGGTTGCCTGCCACCCACTGGCAGAGGGGCTAGAGAGAAAAGGGGTGATCTGTGTTCTCTGGCTGGGGGATGGACAGAAGAGGCCCAGGGGCCTGGACTGCTGGGGAAGGGCATCTCTAGAAGCCCCTGGAGACGGAGAAGAGGGGCCTACTTCATTAGCACCCACCCTGGGAACAAGTCTTTTACTGTGTGACCCTCGGGCCTCCTGACAGCCTGTGCCCATACCTCATCCGAGGAACCTGAGGCCAGAGAGGCTAGGTGAAATCTTCTGCTGCACCTCTGGCCACCCCAGATAACTCAGCTGTCCTCAGATGTACCTCCCTGCCTTTGATCTTACCACTTCCTCCACCTAGAGGGCCCTTCCCACCCGACACCGGGTACCAAACTCCTATTCGCTCTATGATACGCAGCTCAAACAACGCACAAAAGACAGTTCCCGTTGGCCAGCGGGAGTGGTCCTACCTTTCGTGGTCTCGCTTTCTCGCACTAGGAAGGTCCCTCTTGGGTTTTCCGCATTGAGCAGTAACCTCTCTGACTCCCGTCTGGTGATCTTGCCAAAGTACCACCTGGGACAGGAGGAAGGAGGGTGGGGTCAGTGAGCCAGGCTTCCGGCCACCCATAGTGCCTCTCTCTAGGATGCGGCCAGGGCCGTTGGCAGCCAGACCACCCACTCCAGCCCAGGAGAGAAGCACCCAACCAGCTCCTGGCAGGCAGGAAGCCAGAGTCCATACTCACTCTTCGGCCTGGATAGAGTCAGAGGGCGCCACATAGTTGCTGGGGATGTAGCCCGTCTGTCCTGTGCTGAGTGAGTGGGCCAGCCACCAGTCACCCTCTCTAAGGAGGGGGAGAGGGAAGGAGCAAAAGAGAAGGAGCCATCAGTGGTGGGCCCCAAGGCTGCAGTCTTCACAGGTGCTGTGCTGGGGTCCCCAAGGCCAAGTGAGGCACCGGCAGCCATGGGACCAGCCTGAGTTTCCGTGCTGCCAGGCCAAGCCGGCCTGGACTTCTCTCTCCCCGGCCCAGATGCCTCTTGGCCCAAGCTGACTCAGACACACTTTGTCCAGGACTGTGACAGGACTGACCTTGGTCAGCCTGAGGCCCAAATTCACAGGGGCAGAGTTCTGGAATAGGGAGTAATCTGCTTCCCTTCATAGAGACAAAGCCATCTCAAGATGCCAAGAGCTGTCTTGGGAACGAGGGAGGGAGCTCCCTGTCTCTGGGGAGCAAGCAAGTTGTACCAGGAGAGATGATTCCTGCCTAAGATAGATGTCAGGTCAGATCATCAAAGCCATCCCAAAGCCCTGAGATTTGGAAGCTGGTGAGGCCAGGCTGGAGGTAGGGGGTGGCCCCCTTTGGGGGCTTGGTGACCATCCAGGCACTAACCCTGCAAACTAGAGCAATGCTTGCCTTTGTCACATATCACCGGTCATACCTAAGGGGCTCCTTGGCTGAAAACGACGGGTTTCCTCCTGTAGCCTACCCACATACGGGGGAAACTGAGGCCAGAGGGAGCTGGGACTTGCCCAGAGTCACACAGAGTCATGTCAGAGGGGCTGAGGCGGCAGAGCCCCAATGCCCAGGGCACTTCTACACTAACTGCCCCGTGAGGAGGAGATGGGGACGGGGACAGAGGAGCTCCCTGCACGGTCGGGTCCCCTGGGCCTGGGTGGGAGTGGGGAGGGGGCGAAGTACCTTTGCAGCCATCTGAATGTGAACCAGGTCTGGCTGGAGCGGGGGTCCAGAGACACAGAGAAGAGAGGAGAAAGCGAGAGCTCAACAGGAAAGAAGAGGCAGAGATGGGGGTGGTGAGAGAGAGAGGCAGAAAGAGCGAGGAAGAGAGCAGGACAGCAGGCGGTGCGGGGGACCAGGGACAAGGCGGGGCAGCCACAGAGGCCTCACATCCAAAGCAACCAAAGGAGATGGGGAGGGGTCCAGGGGGAGTGAGGGGAGGCCAATGGGAAAGGCTGCCTGAGAAATAGGGTCCAGCCCCCTTCCATTCCCACCGTGCAGATGGAAAGACAGGCCAGAGAAGCGAAGGCCTCTGCTCAAGGTCACACAGCCAGGCCCAGGCTCCTGACTCCCAGACCAGAAGGAATCTTCCCCTACAGGGTATGGTGGGGCTCGAGACCTTGCTGAGCTTCTCTCTCCAAGGCTGCCTTTGGACCTCACCATGACCATGACCCTTAGAAGACACACAGCAAGCAGGATGGGCTCCCCCTTCCTCATTGCCAGGGCCCAGAGAAAAAACCCTTGCCCACAGTTGCACAGTATGGACTTGAACCCAGATCGCTGGCTCCTGCTTCTTCTGAGCTGCCTCTGACCCATATTTTTCAGCCCATTTTGAAGATAGAGAAGTTCAGGTAAGGAGAAAGTAGGTTGCGAGAGCTCTCCAAAGACTGGTCAGAATACAGGTGAGCACCCAGACCTGGGGGCTAGTGGGGTGGGTTGAGGCTGAACCAGAGGGTACAGGGTGCCCTCTGGACAGCAAAGGGAGCATGACTGGGGCTGAGGGGCCCACTCAGCCGTGCAACTGCTGCACGAACACTCAGGCAGAGGCACGAGCTCACATGGGGGTCTCTGCTCGAGACATGGAGGGCTCGGGAGGGCTCTGCTCCCACATGGAGGGCTCGGGAGTAAGGGGGCAAAGGCAAAACTCAAGGAAGGGCCTTGGAAGCGTAGGGCCACCATCCAACCCCCTGTTGTGCTAACACCCAGGGGTGTCCACATTTGTCTGTCCCATTTGATCCTCAAGGCCACCCTGTAGGGAAGGCAGGCCTCAGCCCCCAGATGAGGAATCTGTGGCTCAGAGATGTCAAGGGAGCAGCCCAAGGCCACACAGCACCCAGGCTGGAGTAACCTAGCACTTTCTGAGGCATAGAGATGGGCAGAGACTTGCCCAAAGCTACAGAGCAAGAGCTCCAGTCACAAGAAACAGCTGAAATCTTCCAGTCAAAGCCTTCATTTCACCAATGGGAAAATAAGGTACAGAGAGGGGCAGTTATTTGCCAAAAGACACACAGCAAATCGATGGCAGGGCAAGGCTGAGAACCAGGGTCCGCGTGTCCACAGCCAGACACAGAAGGCCCTCCTGGACCCCTCCTGGAGTCCAGAGGCTCAGAGGCCCTCAGGAAAGCCAGGGGAAGACAGAGGAGGAGGCAGCAGGACAGGGGGCAGGGAACTGAGCCAAGGTCTGGGTCAGAGGCTACAAAATGAGACAGATTGACAAAGCCAAAGTCTGCAAACTGGCCGGCCTCTAGGGAGGCCCTATCCAGGCACTCAGAGTGGAAGACTGGCAAGGAGCATGTGCCCAGAGGCCAGCCGAGCAGGGCCCAGAATCAAGTGGGGGGTCAGCCTAGCTGACATTACCCAGACTTCAGCCAGCAGATCTCCCAGCTCCCTGACATCAGCCCGTATGTGAGTTCGGGGTTTCCAGTCCAGGTTTGGGGTTTCATTTAGTTCACAAGGCAGGGATGAGGGTCACCGCCATCTCGCAACAGACCCAAGGCCCAACTCTGACCTGGTCCCAGCTTGAGGGGCGTCTCAGAGCTGGAGCTCCAGAGTCAGACCACTCTGGGCACCATCCAGCTCACCACTTGCAGGCTCTGTGACCTTGGCCTTGCCTCAGTTTCCTCATCTGTAGGATGGGGATACTCATGCCTCCACCCAAGGATGTAAAATACCAGCACAGGGCCTGGCACACAATAGGGGCTCAATGTGCATGAGCTGTTAGCATCTCGATTTGGCTTAAAAAGGAAAAACAACTAAATCTGCATCTCTATGGCACCCCTCCCCACTATCCAAAATGTTTTTAAAAACCAAAGCAGCTAAATAAATTAATTGAATAAAATGAAAACAAAAACCAAAGGAGCTCAGTCTCAGTCTGCAATAACGATTTGCTGTGTGACTTTGGGCAAGCACCCTACCTTCTCTGGGTCTTAATTTCCTCACATAAGCAAACAAATAAATAAATAAATACATGAAAATTTCCTCATCTATTACAGTCACAGACTCTCCCTTGCAGGCAAAGTGTATAAAGCAGTCAGCAACAAGCCGGGCTTAGGGTCAACGGAGATAATTACTGTGATCATCATCCAGGCCCACCTGAGAAATGTTGATATCAAGCCCCATTTGCCTATGTCAGTGGTCTGGGAGGCTCAAACCTGCCTTGGGTAGCTGCCTGGGTTGGGGGCTGGCCCCACGAAGGTCCCCACAGCTTCCGACACCAACCTCCGCCCAGACTTGGAAGTCATCTATCTGGCTGAGTAGATTTACTACATCTAGCACCTTCCCTGGGGGCCTGGTCCTTATCAGATGGACAGGAAGAAGGAAAGGAAGCGAGGGAATTACACACGTCCCCTGCCCCACCCCTCATCTTCCCACATGCGGCCAGAGGAAAAGCACTGAACCAGCAAGGGGTCCTCCAGCTGCAATGTTACATCCCATTCACTAGCTGTGTGACATCAGACAACTGACCTCGCCTCTCTGAGCCTCAGAATCCTCTTCTTGGGACCCTAAGCCTTGAGCCGGCCAAGCCGGCATGTGATCAGGAGTAAGGCAGCCTCGACCTGGGAAGAATTCTGGTTTGGACACTTAGATTTAACTCACTGGGACCATCGAGACTGGTCAGATAGGCACTTTGGGGACTGCAGACAAGCCAGGGCACCCTGAGGCCTGGGCACATGCCCAGTGGGGAGAGGGCAGGGTGAGGCCAGGACAGTTGTATGAGGAGCGCAGGAAGGTGTCCCCTGCCCTGTGGTAGAAAGTGGAACTGGAGTGAGGGCTCCCCCAAAGAAGCTGCTGGAATCTGGGTGGGAGGAAGGGGCAGTTCAGGGGACGACCCAGACTCACACCCAGAAGGGCCCCGACTCCTAGAGACTCAGACACCAGGGCTGAGGGCTTGGGCCAGTCAGACCTCAGACCCCACTGGGCTTCCTCGGACCCAGGGCCACACAGCACACAGGGTTCTGGGCCCCGGGGGCCATGTGGTCTGAAGGTCCAGGAGCAGCGTCTCCAGACCCTGCTGCTGTGAGGCCCCCGACCCGGCAAGCCCCGGCCAAACCCTGTCAAGAGCCAGGCTTGCCCTAAAGCTCTCCCCATCCTGACACCCAGCCCAGCAAGTCCCTCATTCTTACAGGCCCAGGGGGGAAGGGCCGGAGGAGTGAACAATCGTGGGCACTGAGCAATAACAGGAGAAGGACACGTGAGTTTGTCCCTGGGTGGCTATGAGACCTGAACACCTCCAATTTAGGCGGCCCATCTGTCACCAACCTCCTTATCCCTCCCCTTGCTCTAGTACCAGCCCCGACTCCACCGCCACCCGACTTCTTAGGCAAAGGGGTGGCCGAGCGTCGCGATGCGGGAAGGGTTCCTGGTGCCCCGCCTCCAGTCACAGCGCCTCACTGCCATCCAAGGACAGGCCTGGCCCGACACCCCCAAGCCTATGTTGGAAGGCAGGAGGAAGGGAGGGGAGGGGCCAGACAAAGGAAAGGGTGAGGGCCGCCCTCTGGCTGGAGGTGAAAGAGGCAGAACCAAAGTTTCCAGAGCCTTCCTTGCCACCACACCTCGGCTCAAGCTGTGGCCCCAGCCCGAGGTGCCCTTCCCATCACTGGTTGAGATTCTCCCTGGTACTTCAAAGCCACCAACCTGATGCGTCCTCCCCTCGCGGGCCCTTCCCTCCTCCTGGCTCGCCTGCACCCTACTGAGTCCTCCTGCAAGGGCCGTGGGTGGGAGGGCCTGCCCCCCCCACCCCCACCCCTCTGCCACCACTAGCTGTGTGACCTGGGGCAACTCACTCCGCCTCTCGGGGCCTCAGGTTCCTCAAGTGCAAAATAAAGCCAAGAAGAGTTTCTACTTCCCAGGGCTGCGGTTGACGGTGACGTGTAAATAAAACGACGCCACTTAAAGCGCTCCCACGAGACCAGGCTCGCACACAGAGCACGGTGAACCATGGCTGTTTGATTACTGCTGGTTCAACTTGCTCAGCGACACCAGCAAGGCACCCCCGCCATGCCGAGCAACAGGTGATGTGGGGACCCACGAAGGCGGCAGACCTGCGAGCAGGTCTGGTCTGGGGGAGGCAGAGGCAAACAGCTGGAGCCACACGGGGACTGGGGCGCACTAGGACTCTGACACGCAAGGGGGGGGAAAGGTTGGGAGAGGCCCCTCCACCCCCAGGGAGAGCGGCGCGAGGAGGGGAGAGTGCCGCTGCCCGAGCTCTGATCCTGGTTTTGCTCCCCGGTAGCTGTGTGACCTTGGTCAAGAGCCTTCACGTCTCTGAGCCTCAGTTTCCTCATTTGCAAAAGGGAGACAGCCCCTCCCCCGTCACTACGGCCCCGGCAGGATTGCATGGAGGAGTGAATACAAGGACATGGGTAAGAACGCCTGGCACAGCACCTGGCCCCTCTTTTCCCTCGTGCCTCACAGAGAAGGCAGTCCTGAGCTGGATCTTGAAGGGCAAATAGGAGTTTGCCAGGCAGAGACGGGAGAAAGGTGTTTCAGGCAGAGGGAACAGCATGCACAAGGGTAGGGAGGCATGAACAGGCACGACACCCCTGGAGATGGTGATGTCCAACCTCCCTAGCCGGGCCTTTGAGGCCGCTCAGGGACCAATTCTACTCTATCTTCCAGCACCTTCTTGCCTTCCCACAGCCCTGAGGGCGTCCAGCCCCACACCCTCCTGTCAGCCGCCCCTCTGAGAGGGATTGCCTCCCGGCCACTTCCAACTGCTACACAGTATCACTGTTCTTCCTCGGAGGACCTGCCTGAAGCTTCCAGTCCCCGTGGTCACCACCAGAGGGGAGCACACTGCAGGGACCAAATGCCTGAGCGGACCCTGGCCCTGCCCTCTGCCTGTCACTTGGCCTGGACTGGAGTTGCGCCCCGCCCCCTGCCCCGCCCCTGGCTCCAGGAAGGCCCCTTCTCCACCCAGGCCTCACCGGGGCCGGCACTGGACCCTGCATGCAGCCGGCACTCAGTGTGGGCTGACCGGTCAGGATGGAGGGCGGGCAGGTTAGCAAGAAGGTGGGTGGGGAGGAGGCAGGACGGTGAGTGAGAGCGGGATGGTAGGACCCTCCCCAGTCTCGGCCCAGGGTTAAGGTCAGGACCTGGTCACACCGGTTGGGGGTAGGGCATAAGCTGGGAAAGCTGGACGGGAACAGCCAAGGGAGCCAGAGACCACAGGCAGGGACATGCAGAGGAAGCACATGCAGACAGCAGCCCCGCCCCCCTCCACCAGCGAAGCGCCCCCCACCCAGCCCGCCACCTACGAAGTGAGTACACACCTGACGTCCACCTTCCTCCTAAGGGCCAGCGAGAGAGAAGCAGAGAGAGGGAAAGCTGAGGGAGGGCTGGAGGGAGCAAGCATGAGCCAGGAATCGGGGTGGGGGGTTCCACTGAGGATGGGGGCACAGCAGGCCCCGTCGAGGGCAGGAGCGCAGCAGGTGCTGAGCTCTGCCCCGCCCTTTGTCGGCAGTGCCTGAAGGAGCAACCTCCTGCCCCCCTGTGAAGCTCCCCACCCCTCACCCCTGGGCATATGGCCCAAAACCTGCGCCCACCCCCGGTGTACTCCTGACAGGGAAAGGAGAGCAGGAAAAAGGAGAAGAACGCCCCCCACCTCATGGTTACAGCCCCTCCGACCCCTCACTAGTTCATTCCCCACCTGCTCCTGCTCCTGCTCCCCTGCCCACAGGGGCCCCAGAGCCAGCTTGGCCCTAGGATGCCCCCCTCCAAGGCTGGGACCTCTGGAGCTGGACCAGACATCCATACCCCATCCCACCATCTCATCCCATGCCCAGTCATAACCCTCTCACACTGAGTGCCCGGTACAGGTCTCCTGCCTCTCCCTATTTGGGCCTCTCCCCGTGCAGCTAGACATTCTGGCTCAGCCGGCTGCCCCAGGCCCTCCAGCCCCAGGTCCCTCAAGAGGGCACCTCTGGGGGTCCAGCCTCCAGCTTTAGGCCCTGTTTTCTGCAGTCCTGGGTCGTGCCCTGATCATATGCTCTCTGTGAGGTCTGGGACGCTGTGCTCTACGGAGTTACTGAGCCCAGATCCCTGCCCTGGGAGCCCGCCCAGAGCCCTGACCACTACCTGTCTCCTCTCCCATAGCCCCAGGACGGCTCCCTGGACCTCAGCTGGCCTTGACACTAGCCATGCCTGCTGCCCATCGCACTGCCCCTGGCTCTGGGGCGCTCAGAAGTGGCTCTGGCCCAAGACCAGGTCCCAGGGATAGGGCCCCAAGGGATGATGGGGAAGGGGGTCACTCACGTGTTGTTGACAATCTGGAGCCGCTCCCCTTTCTTGAAGGACAGGTCAGTCTCTGTCCGAGACTCATAGTCATAGAGGGCCACAAAGGTGGTCACTCCACCTGCAGAGAGGGGTGGGACGTGTCAGAACGGCCAGGGCCACAGCCTGAAAGAGGGGTGAACAGTAGGGCCCTGGGCGGGATGGAGGTTGGTTTCCCACAACCATCTGGGCCCAGCCCGGAGACGCGGTCACCTTTAGAGGGGGGTGGGCCTGCAGCGTGTCCACTGCGTGCGTGCGTCTGGGAGCCCCTGCGAGGGTGTGTAGGAGGCACGTGCGTCTCTCCACATATGAATGTGCCCACCGGGCTCTAGGTGATTCTGAGGCCTGGCTTCTGTCCAGTGCCCATCTTCCCTGTAGCCCCAGAGGCCCCCAAAGCAGACATCTTTGTGTTGTTCCCAGAGCCTGGCACACAGTAGGTGCTCAGGAAGCAACCGTGGGTAAATGAACCAGTGAATGAGGGAAACTGCACCCGGCTGGGCTGCTCGGCTTCTCTCTGTGTGACTCTTGGTGCTTCTATGTGTCTGGGGAGATCTCGGCTCCAGGTGGTGTCCCCTCATTAGAGGTCCTCTCTGTCCCCCGTTTGAACCACAACCTTCACCCCGCACATCCCCCCAAGAGCCCCTGTCTACCCTTTTTGTTCCTTCAGAGCGGCACCACCTTCTAACACCCTACCCAGTTTACATGCCTTGTTCCGCTCTTCTCCTCCATCGGGGTTTGTCTCTTCTACATACCATTGTGTCCCCAGCCCCAGAAGAGCCCAGCACACAGGAGGGACACCAAAAATGAACGGGCCCTTTTGTGGGTCTGTCTCACTTGGGCAGGTGTCCACGGCATCCGTGAGTGTCCCTGCGTGTCCTCACTGCGTGTCTGTGCATTTGTGCGTCTGTGAGCCTGTGGGTATCTGTGATGACGCTCCTAGCCCAGCATGTGTGTGTTTCCCGTGTGTGTCTTTGAGGGGCTTCGGACTGCGTGTGTGTGTGTCTTAATCCGGGATGCTGAGGTTATTTGTGTATGTGTGTTTCCATTTGTGTGCATCTATGTTAGGTGTGTGTCTGCGCACGTCCACGTGTCCCTGCGTGTGTCTTTATGTGCACGGTATCTTCAAGTATCTCTGATGGTGTCTCTAACTCAGCCTGTTTAAGTGTCTGCACAGATCTCCTGGAGTGAGTTGCTGGCTGTGTGTGGCTCTGAGTATGTCAAGGTAAGAATGCAAGTATTTATGTGAATGTCTTGTGTGTGTGCGTGTGTGTGTGTCTGGGACCATATGGGCATCTCTCTCTTAAGCATCGCTTGCCTGGAGCTGCCATACCCCAAAAAGGCCAGCAGAGGGCGCAGGGGTGCATCTCGGCATTGGGCTGGGCGCCTGAGGACCAGAGCTCCCTTTGTCCCTCCTAACCTGCTCTTGCCCCCTCTGCCACCCAAGACCTCCTGTCCTGACCCATCTCTGGGCCCACCAGAGTCAAAAACAAAGCCTCAGACCTGGTCCCTGTACTGTCCTGGGCAAACAGCCCCCTGGCTCTCTGGCCTCAGTTCCCGCCTACAGTCCCACATCTCTAGACCCCTTTATACTCTGCATTGGATTCACCCTCAAAGGCAATGGGATGTGTACCACACTCTCCGGTTTTTAAAGCCCTTCCCCACCCACAGCCTCCGGGAAACTCCCTACAGTCCCCAAACCCGAGAAACCCACAGCCTCTACCCCGACGGTGAGAGGCCCGGCCAGCCGGCACCCACCCTCCCAGGCCCACTGACCCGCCAGCGGCCCCGCCCTCTGCGGGGAGGTGACTGTGTCCGAGGAGTTGAAGCCCCCGAACAGCTTGGGCTCAGCAGCGGCAGAGGGGAAGGCCGTACTGGGGCCTCGGTGGCCATCAGCGGAGGCTGGCTTGCTGGGTGTCTGTGAGGTGGGGAAGGCACCCCCACCACCACCGTGGGTGTTCTCAGCAGGCTCCAGGCTGCGGCGCCGTTGGCTGGCATCCTTGGGCTTGCTCTTGTTGCTGCCCATGGTCCTGGCTGGGGATGAGAAAGCACCCTGGAGGTGAAGGGCTCTGGGGGCAGGCAGGGCTGCTGGGCCTAGGCCCTTTAGACAGCATCTACCCTCACCCATTCTACAGATGAGGAAACTGAGGCCCAAAGAAGGGTACTAGCCTCTTTGGGTAAGTTAGACTTTCAGAGCCTCAGTTTCTAAATCTGTAAAATGGGAATGATGACGAAACCCATAAACGGCTTCCTTGGTATGAGGCCAAGCAGCGAAGAAATGACTTATAATCAGAAGCCCTAACCTCCCCACCTTCCCCTGAGTCAGTTTCTGTCTGTCATGGGCAGGGACAATCTGAGTCATGTCTATATCCGAGGCACACAGCACATAGGAGAGGGCTCACCGAGGGTCTGCTGAGCAAATACATGACTGACTAAAATTGTCTAACAGCAGACAGGAAGGTGCTAAGATATACAACCAAGGCAGAGATATAGCAGGAGGCTGGAAGGAGAGATGTCTGGGAGCTCAACCCAGCCACAGGGCCTTTGCACACATGCTGTTTCCTCTGCCTGGATGCTCTTCCCTGACCACTTCACCAGAATAACTCAGGCCTCCTTCAGTCCTCAGCTTAAAAGTCACCCCCCTTGGGAAGTTTTCTCTAAATCCTTTCTGGCCTAAGTCCTCCTGGCTTTTGTACCTCTCCTTGATAACATGGTATCCAGAAAAAAAAAACAAGTTGAAAACTTCCCAATGATGCCCACAGCCCCGCCACCCTCTTTTGCCTCCTACCTCCCAACACACAGATCCTGGCCGGCCTCAGCTCCCAGTGAGCCTGGTCTTCCCACCCATCGTGCCCACGCCCCCCTCCTCCCTCACCTTGGCAGCCCTGGTGGGTCACCGCCTCACCTGGTGGAAGGCAGGGGCTGTCCCAGAGGATCTGGGAAGCAGCCTGAGGTCTCAGCACGAACACCAGGTGTGGAGTCAGGGGGCTCGGACGAGAGGCTCTGCTCCACTTCTCCCCGCTATGTGACCCTAAGCAACTCACTTCCCCTCTTTGGGCCTCAGCGTCTTCATCTGCAAGACAGGGATAAAGCAGACTTTTCAGGGCTGTTGTGAGGACACGATTAGGAAGAGAAATCACCACGGCTCTGGCTCTTGCGTCACAATTTATCAGGCTCTGACTGAAAGTTCTGACGTTAAGGGCTTCCCAGACCTGAAACAGCCTTTGGCCTTCCCAAAGCATCTTATGAGCACGAGCAGGGCAGGGTTTGGCACGGTGGTTAAGGATGGGCTCTGGAGCCAGACTCCCCAGACTCAGATCCCACCTTTGCCCCTAATCCGCCGTGTGACCTCAGGCAAGTGACTTAACCTCTCTAGGCCCTGTTTCTTCATCTGGAAACAATGGGGTCATCCAGCTCCGTGGCAACCGAATGCTCCTGCCGGGGACATAGCAGGTCACCCTGCCACCACCCTGCCACATCAGCTCTTACCGACATCGTGCGATTCTGGACACACCGACAAGGTGGGTTCTGAATATTCTCCAGGGAATGCGGCAGTCCCTGCAATCAGTCCAGAATTTCCTCTGGGAACCCACGGTTGGGGAAAAGTGCTCTTGACTGGCAGAGGCCTTAGGCAAGACGGCTGGCCCTGAGCAAGCCCAGCTCTGAACGCTCTCCTCCCTGTGTGAACCTCGGCCAGCTCCTGCACCCCCTGGGCCTCGGGCTGACTGGCCACACGAGGTGGGCGTGGTCTGCCTGCTCCCGGGGGACATCCAGATCAGAGAATGTGAGGCTGGGGAGGCCCTGAGGAGATCTGCTCAATAGCCCAAGGGATCACCTGGGCCTCCTGAGGGACAGGCCAACAGGCCTGGGGACAAAGAAGACCAATTTCTATGGCAACCCAGTCCACTTCGGTCACATCAGCACTCATAGAGCTGGTGTCCCGTGGGCCCCACTGACCCAGTTACCCACAGCCCGGGCTTGCTGGAGGCCGGGCCCCGCCCACTGCACTCCCTACCCAATGGCTCCCTGATATAGCGTTCACAGCGCTGACTGAGCAGCAGGGGCTATGCTAGTCTACAGGGGGACACAGAGATGACCTGGCCAGGCCTGTGTCAGAGGACGTTTGTTTGTGGGACTTTCAGGGGAAATAAAAATTATAAAAATATATTTTTTAAATATAATTATTATTTTTTTTTAAATAGAGCACTTTCTAGGAGCCTGAACTTTCTTCAGAACGAACTAAACGGTGAAGGGTGAGCCCCCTGTCCCTGGAGGTAATCAAGGACAGGAGAAAGAGTAATTGGTCAATGTGCTGTGGAGAAAGAGGGAGAGCCAGGCCTGGACCAGGGCCAGCACTCTCCTGGCACCAAGAAAATGCACGTGCCCTCTTGGAGGGTACAAGGAGAAGAAAAGACAGCTCCTGGTCCCAATCTCTTATACTGACCAAGACCACTCCTCCCAGGGCAGGAGAAAAAGTACAAGAGGGCCTTCAAAACCAGCTACGGTGGCCTGGCCTCTGCTTGCAATGTTTGTTGGTTTGTGGAGTTTCTGTTCTATTTGTTTTGTTGGTCTTTGTGGTTAAATCTGATTATACAAGTAACACGTGTTTGTGGACAGGCAGGCGTGTGGAGGTTAAGAGCTAGAGTACTAGAGTGTTTGAATCCCAGCCCTACCATCCCAGCATGGGACCGGGGCCTCAGTCTCCTCCTCTGGCAGTCAGGAAGTAAAACGGTGCCCACATGACAGGGCTCTTGAGAGAGTCAGCAAGGAAAGCACATAGCACATGCTCAGCACAGAGCGGCACTTTGCCAGCCTTGCCCCTAGAACGCAATCGCCTGGGCGTGACACTGTGTTTCCTTCAGGCATCATGGGAATGTATGACTGTAAACAAAATTGGGCTCCATCTAGTGCCCTTGTCTAAGCTCCCTGCAGGCAGGACTGGGTCATATCCATCTGCACCTGCCCCGTGGCCAGGACAGACCTGGTACCTACTAATTGTTCTGGAAATATGTGCAGAACAGACAAAAGACTAAATGAGCATAGACATGGTTTGCATCCTGCTTTGTTCCTGTCACGTCATGTTGTGGAGACCAAGTGTCGTTCCCGGATATTCAAACACTCCCAGGGCCTGGACCTTAGACAGGCCCTGCTCCAAGCAGTTTGCAAATATTCATTCATGAAATCCTCATGATAATCTAGAAGGCAGATACTAATAGTTTTCCTATTTTACCGAGGAAGAAACTGAGGCACAGAGAGATTGAGGAACTTATCTGAGGTTACACGGCGAGGGGGAAAGGGGACAGGGAACCACACTGGACAGGCAGGGATCAGGGGCTTGCTCATGGGGTCTACTGGGGGTACTCGTGGCCCTACCTCCTTGCCCTCGGGACCTCTCTCACGTGGAATAGTCAGATGCCCTTGGTGGATGGGGCACGAGCAGATAAGGCAGCTCCCTTCCCAGAGAAAGCCAGAGGTTTCTGGCTTCAACAAAGCAGAATGTGCTCAAGGAAGGACAGGCACTTTTAGGGTGGGGTCTAGTCCCCTGCAGGGCTGCTGCCGGGGGCTATGTGACCTCGGGAGACACCACCCTCCCAGACCCCCGGGGCTCCTTTCTTGAGGCAGGATGCTGTCTCAGGGCCTTTTGGTTCTGGGGCCCAAACGCCAAGTCACCATGAGTTGCCCATTTGAGAGGAGCCAACCCCACATCTCTTCCGCCACTTGCACACTCTGAGATACAGATAGACCCTTGTGGGGCCAAGGGGAAGTGGCGAAGCCTCCGTACTGGGGGGTGCCTGAGGTTCCCAGAGGAAGGAGGCCCCTTTCCTCTGGGGAGCCACTCCTAACCTCAGCGTCCTGACCACAGTCTCCAGACTGAGGGCTTGTGCACGGGAGGTGCCGGGAAGCAGGCCTGCAATGCTTGCCCCTCTCCGCCCCAGCCCTTCATGCCCCAGGGGCCCTGGGCTGACTTGGCGTCTCCCCTCAAGGCTGTAGCCCCAGTCCCGTGTCACCTGTCACCGTCTCCGCTCTGGCTCTCCCAACTCCCCAAATCTTCCTCAAATGTATGCCTCCCCCAACCCTCTCTCCATTCCCTCAGCCAGGCACCCGTCTGCCTGGGCCTGGATGCAGGAGTCTGGCCCTCCGGGCACCCTCCTCCCTGTAGCCAGAGGCGTCCCTGTAAACCGCACAGACAGCGGGGGGCCTCCTCTGCTTAGCACTCTCTGTGGAAAACCGGAAATGACCTACGTGCTCGGGAGAGAGGGGCTGGATAAAGAAACGATGGTCTGTTCATGGAGTGGACAGCCGTGCAGCTGATCAAACAGAACGAGAGCTCAGTGTGGCCTGAGGAGATGCGCTGTGAAGAGAGGAAGCTGCCGGCGCAGAACGTCCTCTGGGCCTCTTGCGACCTCAGTTTCCACAATTGGAAAATGAAGACAATAATGCTACCGAAGTCGTGGGGTTAGTGGGAAGAGTAAATGAGCCTGTGCTCACCACGCACACATAGCACACGTATGTGCAATGATTTCTGTGAAGGAAACTAGCATGTGCGTAAGTGTGTCTATGAGAGCACGTGCTATAGAGCTGTAGAGAAAGTTCTGGAAGGATTCCAAATTCTTCACAGTGTTTCGTCCAAAAGATGTGGGATGGGGAGGGGAAAATCCCTTTTTTACTGTACGTATCTGCTGTATCACTTGACATTTAGAAATTACCTTGTCAAAAACTGTCTTTTAATGAGACTTTAAAAAAACAACAACACTGAAGAGTTTCCCACCACTCCCCTCTGGATGAAGCCGAATCCCCTCTCCCATGGCCCCCCTGCTGGAGGGCACCACACTCTCCCCCCTCGCCCCTCCCCAGGCACACAGATGTTTACAACATCCAGAAGAGGCTGGGGAATAAACTGTGGTCCGGTCACGGCATACCCACCCCTTCATTCCCTACTCTGAAGAGCATCACCTCCACTACTGTCAGGGCAAAAGGAGGCCAGGGGATTAGGAGTTGAGAATGAGGAATCCAGTCAGGCCTGGG